GAGCTGCTAAATGATAAAGTGCCTGAACAGGAAGTCACTGACTTGGGTTTGAATCGAATGCATATGTCTCCTTCCTCAGAGGTTTCCTGCCTCTCCACCCCCACCAGCAGCAGTGGGTCTTGTTCTCTAGGTTAGCAGGATGCATTACCTCCCCTTTCTCAGTCCTTAATGAAGTGTGCAGTTCTTCTCCTCATTAGGCCCCAGCATTGTCAATAAAAGAGTCAATAAAGCCAGTTGACGGGATTGGGAGAGAGAGGTGGAGGTGTGAGGCCGCAGCGCATCCACAGGGCAGAGGCCAGCTCTGACACAGATTGCAACCAATGTCCAAGGATCAATAGCAAGGTCTGAATTAAGCCTCACCCATCCCTCAGCCTGGAAAACAACAGGGCCCCCAGGGAAAACTCCCTCTGGCCGCTGCTGTCTCCCCTCCATGCCCATCTCACCAGAGCAGGGCCAGTACCAGCTGGCTAGCCTTGCCTTCAGTTGTCTCCTCCCTGTGCCATGCCAGGTGCATTAGCTTCCTCCTGGAGGAGACCTTTCCCTGCACCCCCACCATGGATGCATATTTATTAATTCCTCACACCAGGTGCACCACTGCCCAAGCAGTCCACAAACCGGCTGAGTTCCATACCCTCAATCTCCATCCTACCCAGATGGCAGGCATGTGCCTGCCTTTCTGCTCCCTGTGTCTGCAGACACTGTGTGTGTGTGTGTGTGTGTGTGTGTGTGTGTGTGTGTGTGTGTTTGTGAGTGTGAGGAGAGGAGGTCAAGGTTGCAAATGCTCTGAATGGTAGGCCCCTGCACTCCATCTTTGATTGCTGGGCATCTCTGTAGATACCCTTATCTTATCTAATTACAAGAAATTTCAGATTAATTTCACGGCCTCTGCTCCAAAGAACCCCTTATCAGCAAGAGCCCTGAGTCTTAACCTTGTTATTCCTTTGTTGTTAACCTCTAAATGAGATGACAGCTAAGAAGGGGGATACTAAGATTTTGCTGGAGACGGTTGGGGGGGGGCAGTGGTGGTGGGAGAGGGCTGAAAAGGGAATAAGAGGAACTGAGAGGGAAGCAGGCAGACACCTGGGACTTGTGTATTCCACCCCACTCCATGACTGTGTGTGCAGAGACAGCTGGCTGCTTACCTCCAGTGACAGCCACATGGTACCCAGCCACACAGAACAGGACCATACCAGGGACTCATCTGCTGCCAACCTCTCCAGATCCCTTTGATATTTCCGACAGAAGAGTAAAGGACTCAACTATCACATTTTGCCTTGCCTCTCTCCAGCTCCTTGAAGGCTCCTCAGTGTGGTTTCCATGACGACCCCCAATCAGATTTGGTTTCCTGTGAAATTGGATTTCAAAGCAGGACAAGGCTTCAGAGGAATTTGTCCATTTAACAGAATGTCATTAGGAGTGAGGTTGGCGGCTGAACCTGGGTCCTAAGATGATTAAAGTGGGGCTGTTCTGATGTAGGGAGACAGGTTTCCATCTGCAGTGAAGGGGCCTTGATACAACATGACAGTACTGTATTGGAATCTGCCAGTCACCTGCAACACCTCTAGCTACCTCTGTCTCTCCAAGACTGTAGATTCAACCTGGAAGAAAGGATGTCAAGCACCTAGGCTATGTGATTCTTTTATTCTTTTTTCTTCAGTAAATTTAGCAAACATTTGTTAACGCCTACTGTGTGCAAGGCACTCTTCTTGGCACTTGGAATAAAAAGACCAAAAAAAAAAAAAAGGAAGAAAGAAACAAAGAAATTGCCCACAAAGAACCTCCATTCTGTTCTCTGGATCACCTATGCCTTTGTAGAAGGCACAGGTGCAGGTAATGAAAGATCACAGTTAATCCACCCTATCAGATTGCCAGGAGGCAGTTAGGTGGCTCGGTGGATAGAACACTGGGCTTCGAGTCAGGAAGACTTGAGTTCAAATCCAGTCTCAGATGCTTACTAGCTATGTGACCCTAGGTAAGTCACTTACCCTGTTTGCCTTAATCCACTGGAGAAGAAAATGGCAAACTATTCCAGGATCTTTGCCAACAAGATCCCATGGACAGTATAGTCTGCAGGGTCATGAAGAGTCAGACACAACTGAACAACAACCACCAGATTTCTAATTTCCCTACTGTCCACTTGGTATACCATGTATTTCTGCAGTTCCCACCAGTATGATGCCATAGTGAGGTTCAGAAGAATCTCCAAGCATCTGGCTTTAATGTCAACTTATACATGTGTTAAAATATCTTAGCAGAAAACAAGGTGCATTGAGCCTTACGATCTCTTCTACCACAAAAGGGAAACAGGAAAACAGAAGGGGATACAGAAAGGAGGTAAGTTGCTGCAGCCAGAATAATAATGACATTTTTGGGGGTAGCAACTTTTCTGTAATTTATAAGTCTTAGGGATGTTATATTCTTGAAGGCTATGCTGGCAAAATGCAAGTTCTGAAAGCCTTAGAGTATGGGCTACTGATCGACAGCTTTGCTGCTGTTCACAAAGACCGACCTCATTAAATGTGGTGAGGCTTTTCAGAAGATTGATGGTCAGGTGATTTTATAGAGTAGTAGGTGTTGTTCTGGACTTGGAATTAGGAAGTCTAGGTTTCCAATCTTTCTGCTGACACTAGTTATGAAACCATGGGCAAGGAATCTCATCTCTTTGACACTCAGTTTCCTCATCTATAAAATGGGGATAATAATTCCTCAAATGAGATACATCACAGGATCACAGATTTAGGACTGGAAGGGACCTTAAAGACCTTCTAGTTTGATCCCCTCATTTTTACAGAGGAATAAACTGAGGCATAGGGAGGTTAAGTGACTTGTCCAGTCACATAGGTAGTGTCAGAGTTGGGATTTGAACCCAGTTAGGTAAAGGGCTTTGCAGACTCAGCATTTTCATGGGCAAATCACTCATTTTCTCCCTTCCCTGTTACTTTTTTTTTTTAAACCAGGCAATGGAGGTTAAGTGACTTGCCCAGAGTCACACTGCTAGTAAGTGTTATGTGTCTGAGGGTGGATTTGAACTCAGGTCCTCCTGACTCCAGGGCTGGTGCGCTATCCACTGCACCACTTAGCTGCTCCCTTCCCTGTTACTCTTAAGCAGTACTCAAATACCATAAGTGACATAAACATTGCTGACCTGCATCAGTGGAGGGGGATTTTACACGGGAATTCACTACATTGATAAAAAAAAATTATCATTATTATTATTTTAGCCACTGCAATGAATAAAACTATCTCCTAAGATGTAGAGGGGTAGCAATGTGTTGGTGCAAGGAGTGTTCAATTTGATGAAATTTTGGCTCTTTTGAAAAATTGGAGTATTTTTCTGCACAGGGCAATCAGACATTGGTATAAACTGGGAAAGGAAACCTTTTTGGGCACTTTCCTATGGTGGGAGGCCTAAGAGACTGGACAGTACTAAAGCATCCTGGGAATTTACCCAGTCTGTTATGGTAAGATATTTGGACCCCAAAGTCAAGGCAGTGTAACCATTTTGAGGTCACTGGGGCCAGAAACCTGAAATACATGCTTAACAAATGCTTGGGAAATGGAAAATAGTTTAAACTGTGGTGTCTGCCAGAGCCAAGTTTCCCTAAAAATTGTGCCTTCTGAATACTCCTCTAGCAATGAAGTGCAATACAACCCACCCTGCTTAAAAATGTGGTTCTGGTTGCCTAGCACTGACTGAATGAAACTTATGGACAGATGTGAAATCAGTTTGACCTCCAGAACATATCCTTCTTTTTCCTACATCTCTTTCGAAATTCAATTCAATGAACATTTATTAAGCACCTAATATGTGCCAGTTGGGGCAGCTAGGTGGTGCAGTGGATATAGTGCCAGGCCTGGAGTCAGGAAGACCTGAGTTAAAATCTGGCCTCAGATACTTACTAGCTGTGTAACCTTGGGCAAGTCATTGAAACCTGTTTCCCTCAGTTCCCTCATCTGTGAAATGAACTGGAGAAGGAAATGGCAAACCACTCCAGTATCTTTGCCAAGAAAATTCCAAATGGGATCACAAGGAATGGGACAGGATGCATCATCATCATTATCATCAACAACAACATTGTGCCAGGTATTGTGTTAAGAGCTGGAGATACAAAGGAAAAACAGAATAGTTCTTGACCTCAAGAAGCTTATATTCAACTGGGAGGAGAGAGGGAGCTGTTAAAATAAGCACACAGACAAGTAAGTACGAGGTCTATACCCGGTAATATTTGTTAGCAGCAGCAGAAACCAATTGCCTTTGGCTCCCTGTATCTCCCACAACCTCTCTGGTCTCTTGATCTTGCTGGATTTGAGATGACTTATTTATGAGAACTTGCCTGCACCTGCGTTAAGCATTAGAATTTAGCTGAGACAAGTTAATTCTGGTTACTGCCAGCATTCCAGCTTAACAGGCAAGGATCAGGGGTCCAAATAATCAAACAGTTTGAAGCTCATATATACAACTGCATGACTTGCCCTATTCTCGTTTGTGCCCTCTTCTCACCAGGTTTCTGTCCCAGCGTGCCCTATTTAAAGGACTCACTCCACGTGCCACATGGGCTGTACATGAGCTACGTGGTACACAGACTTTCTTTCCAGCGGCTCAAGATTTGATTGGAAGGGAGGATGGGGGCTTCAAGGATGCTGAAAGGCTCGGTTAAAAGGCCCTTTTCCATTTTCTTTACCAATACCAGGCCAAAAAAATTCAAGGTTTGGATCTCCAAAAGACTTTGGAGGGCAAGGTGCGTACCCTCAATCTTCCTCCCCCCCCCCCCCCCGGCCTTGCCAGTATGCTGCACGTGCAGAACAGTGGAGGGTCGAGTGTTGGCAGAGCGCAGGACTTGACCTCTAAGCTCTGACCGTCGAGGGTGTGCTCCACCCACCCGCGGCCGTGGGGCGCTGCACCTTCTTGCCCCGCCCGTCCCTGCCACGCACCCTGCAGCGCGCGCCGCTTCCTGAGTCGTCCCCTCCCGTGCGCCCCGCCCCGTTATCGGGAGGCAGCATCCTCGGCTGTAGCAGCAGGAGCCCCAGCCCCCGCCCTGACCCGGCAGCAGGTGCCTTCTCAGCCGGCTCCACCCGCTCGGTGCTCTTCCCTTCCCAAGCACACAGCTCACCTTCCTTCTCTTGGCCAAGGTCCTCAGCCCCTTCAACCCTCACCCGCGCCCCAGCCTCTCTCCAGTCCCCTCCAAATGCAGGCTGCTGCCACCCTCCCCGAGGAGATCCGTTGGCTCTTGGAAGGTAAAGTCCGGAACCACCTCTGGTGCCGTCCCCGCCCCCACCCTCACCCCAGCTGCAGAAAGTTTTGAGGCGCTGAGGTTAGGAAAGGAAATGAGGCCTTGGGTAGTTTGGGGGTAGGCGTCCCCAGCATGGGCTTGTCCCCTCACCTCCTGTCATGATCTTCAGCCCAATCTCACCCTCCTGCTTAAAGTGGGGCAGTGAGAAGTCTCTAGGAGTCTGTAGCCCTGCCAATGGTCTGTGCAAAGGTCTGGGGATGGGGGGGGGGGAGGTCCAGCTTCCTTGTGTGCTTGGTGAACCTGAAGGATTTTCCCATCTTACTTGGACATGTTAGCCAGTGTGATCTTAGACTAGTTATTTAACCTCTCTGGGCCTCAATTTCCCCATCTCTAAATGAGAGATTTGGGCTAGGCTGCCTTGGGTCTCTTCCAGATATAAATCTGTGATCTGGTGATTTCCTCAGGGGCAGATGCCCCACTTCTCTCTCAAGAGGTCCTGCCGATCATCAGTTGTGGCATCATCCTAAAAAAGCTGTCTAGTGGGCTGGTCCACTCTTTTTTTTTTTTTTTTTTTTTTTAAACAGTTATGGCCACGTCGAAACTTTAAGTTCCCAGGTTTAAAGTAGGCTTCACCAGCGGACAGTTGATGGAAGTTAGCTCAGGCAGATGGGACTTTTTTAGATGAAAACTCCACTTAGGAACTCAAAAGTGACAGTAACTTTTGTTCCTCTACCAGGCCTTTGAGGTTGGGGTCATGGAATCTATACTTCATTAGTATCTCTTTATCAGACTTAATAGTAGTCATGCTTTGGGAGGCATGCTATGTTCCCCCCCTTTCCACTTGAAATAATTGATTTCTTATCTCCCTTAACCTCCTGGTAGTGCTATTGTGGAAAGAACACAGGCCTTGGGTTTAGGAGGCCTCTTTTCTAGCCCTGGCTCTGCTTATGATGCAACCTTGGGCAAAGGATCTGGGTTCAAATACTGCCTCTGTCACTTAATATCTGTACCAAGTCACTTAACATTCATAGGCCTCAGGTTTTTTGTATAAGATTAGGGGGTTGCAATTCTAAACAAATCCCATGATCTGGGTTCAAACCCCAAGTTTGGTATATACTGCCTTTGTGACTTTTGGCAAGGAAATCAATTTTTCTTTGTAGGCCTCAGTTTCCTCTTCTGGAGGAAAGATAGCATTTAAAATTCCTTCCAGGTCTGACGTTCCACAGTTCAAATAATATCTTTGACAAAGGCCTTCAGTTCCTATTCTTAGCATTAGGTTTCATTTCTGGCTTATTCCTGTATAGTACCATTCTTTACCAGCCAGATGTTGCTTTGAGGTTGAGACACTCAGAATCCATCTTAATTATAACCTCCTTAAACTTTGCCTTTTGAAATGAGAAACTGCTCATACATTGAAGGGATCAGAGGGGACTTGGGGTATTTCTTACTTCAACTTTTGCTTCTTGACAACTTCCTCCAGAGTATTAGACTTTTGTGTACAAATTACAAATTATTTCGTTTTTTGTTTTTTGGCTTAGAGGATACTGCTGAGGAGCCCAGTTTCTTCCCAGTTTTCCCTAAGTCTGGAATGCACTCTTCAAAGCCAACTGCAGGTGCTAGTTGACTTTATCCTGATTCTCCTATTTATTAGCTCCCTCTACCTCTTGGAAATAGATTTTATTTCCTTGCTTGTGTACATATATTTTCCTCCTCCATAAAATGTAAGCTCCTTGAGGGCAGGGGCTGTTTCATTTTTGTTTTCCTTTCCATAGATGCTTAATAAAAATTTGTGGGATTAACCAGAATTGAATTCTCCCGTAACCTTGTGGGTTTTTTTTTTACATTGGCATCTCACATACATATGCAACATATATATGTATACTATGTATACACATACTGTATATATGCACACTATATATGCACCATATACATACTACATTTATACTATATATACATATACATACCACATACACCCAAGACATATATATAACATATATACACACTACATATACATACATGCTATTATATATACCATATATATATACAATATATTATTCATGCTATATTTATACACCATATAGACATACAATGTATATATATATACACACTATATACCATATATACATACAATATATACACTGTATATGCACACTGTATACACACACTATATATACATAACAAATATACACATCATATATATACTATATGCACACCATATATACACTATGCACACATATATACACACTATATATACCACATATGCACACAATATGCACACATACTATATATACACACATTGTGTATATATATATACACATTGTATATATATACACACACATTGTATATATATATATACACACACACATTGTATATATATATATATACACACACTTTATACCCACTATATATACATACACTACACACACACACAAATATATGACTATATATAACAGACTTCTCTAAACTCCTCTCCTGCTTTGCTCTAATGAAGGCAGACTCAGAGCAAAACTCCTATTTGTTTTCAGTGGCTTTTGAATTGAAAGCTACCCCTTCAGCATTTTTGATGTGCGGCATTTTATTGTTTGGAACTGACACTTTGGTAAACAACTCATTTCTGTACCTGCCACCTTCCTTTAACTTACATTATTTTCTTGTTAGCTGACTGTTTTTAATTGAAGTCTTCAGATCTCCTTCTAAAGCAGGGCCTTTGTTTGCTGACAAGTATAGCAGGCTATGAATGGAGATTAATTGCATGTCACATACTTCTGTATCAAACTTGCTGTGTCTTAACAATCTGTACAGTGCTTGGGCCTCCTAGTATATAAGGTAGAGTCTGAGGTTAAAATTTAAGGAACTCACTTGGTTAACATATTTGTTAAGGACGTTTTTGGAAAAGTTTACATTTAGGAGCCCATTTACCTCAAAGAATAGGTAGTGAGGAATAAACATAACTAAAGATTCCTTTAGTGAGTGTGTTAGGAATTTGTCATTTGTGTGGTTTTTCGTGCTTATAGCAGTATCAGGCAGCTGGTGGTGAAGTGGATTGAGCGCTGGGCCTTGAGTCAGGAAGATATAATTTCAAATCTAGCCAACCAGCTGTGTGACCTTGGGCAAGTTACTCAACCTCTATTTGCCTCGATTTCCTCAACTATAAAATGGGGATAATAATAGCACCTACTTCTCAGGGTTGTTTTAAGTATCAAATGAGATATTATCTGTAAAAAGTGCTTGGCAAAATGCCTGACACATAGTAGGCACTATATAAATGCTTATTTCCTTTCCCCTTCCAATGGTGCACAGCTCCAGGTGTGAGTCAGCTGAATACTGTTTTCAAGAGACGTGAAAATTTGGGCTGTTAGAATGTAGAAACACTTCTATGTTAGTTGCTGTTTGGAAACAGAGAGACAGAGAAAGAGAGAGAGAAGGGGGACAACAAAAGAAAGAAAAATGAGGTGATGGGAATAGATGACGTGTAACGTCCCTTCTAGCTCTAAATCTTTGATCTTATGATCAAACATTATAGTTATCTTCAAGTATTTGAAGGGTTTTTATATGAAAGAGGTATCAGACTTGCTTAACTCCATAGACAGAGCTAAGGGTGGAAATTGAAAGGGGGCAGATTATATATCTCAAAGTAAGGAAAAACATCTTAACAGAAAAAAAATGGAATGGGCTGCCTCAGGAGGGTAGCTGGTTCTTTCCTTACTAGAGGTCTTTAAGCAGAAGCTGGACACTTACTTTTGCATTTACCATTTACACTAAATGTAGCATTTATCACTCAGTCAGTAATTTGTACCAGTCAGTCAACTAGCCTTTATACTTTTTGCTAGGCGTGGAGCCAAGCTCTGAAGATACAAAGGAAGGCAAAAAACAGTCAAGTGGGGTAGATGTGTAAACAAATACAGGCAACGTATATACAGGACAAATTGGAGGTGATTGGCTAAGGGAAGACACTAGCATTAACGGGGATAGGGAAAGACTTCTCATAAAAGATGGGATTTAAGCTGGAACTTTAAGGAAGACAGGGAGGGCAGGAAGTGGAGATGAGGAGAGGGAGAGAATTCCAGGCATGGGGGACAACCAGTGAAAATACTTGGAGCTGAGACATGGAGTGGCTTGTTTGAGAAACAAAGTGTCATTGGATCACAGTATGTGTAGGGTTGGGGGGGATTTGGGAGACAGTAAGAAGGCCAAATAGAGGGGCTGGGTTTTATAGGACTTTAAATGCCAAACAGATATATATGATTATGGAGGTGATAGGGAGCCATTGGAGTTTATTAAATAGGGTAGTGATATAAACATCTGGAGGGCAAAGTAAATAGTGCGCCAGGCCTGGAGTCTCATCTTCCTGAGCTCAAATCTGGCCTCAGACACCTAGTTATGTGATGCTGGACAAGTCACTGAACCCTGCTTGTCTCAGTTTCCTCATCTGTAAAATGAGCTGGAGAAGGAAATGGCAAACCATTCCAGTATCTTTACTGAGAAAACCCCAAATGGGGTCACAAAGAGTCAGACACAACTGAAAAACAACTGAATGATAACAACAAATGATCAGATCTGCGTTTTAGGAAGATCACTTTGACAGCTGAGTGGAGGATGGACAGGAATGGGAAGAGACTTTAGGCATGATATGTTTTAGAGTGGATTCATATCCGGACAAATTGAACTCAGAGGATCATAGGACCATAGATTTAGAGCTGGAAGGGGTCTCGGCTACCATCTAGTCCAACCCTCCTCTCTCACTTTACAATGAGGAAACTGAGGTCTACATAGCTTACGTGGCTGCCCAAGGTCACACAGCCATTGCATACCTGAGGTGAATCTTCCTGACTACAAGCCTGGTTCTGTTTCCACTGCTTTGTGTCGCCTCTGAGGCCTCCTTCAGTCCTTGTGTTCTGTGATTCTACATAGGTCCTGATCATTACATGATCTCTCTATGGAAGTTTTGGGGTACATGAGCTATGCCACAAGTGTCATTATAAGTAGGGGATAGAGAGGGCAGGG